GTGCTACCCGCCCCCTCACCACACACACCTTAGAGAAAAAGTCTTCGGGAAGAGGAAAGAGGGGAGACCCGTTCATGAAGTTGAGGATTATTATGTTAAACTTGCTCAAGCTTTTATACTGACATCCTTTACACAATTCTGCCTCAAGCCATTCACTTCTCAACAAATGTGGCTTGTGGGTACTTACTTGTGCATATTTGCTGATAACATTTCTCCTGAGCGCCCGGAAATTCTCCAGCTATGCTGCATTTCTGCCCTAAAACCTCACACGTTGCCTGTTATATAATGGGTGGCCAATCAATGCTTCTGAGTAAACTAATGAAGTAGATAGATAAGTATATGAATGAATGAGTTAATGAGTGAATGAAGGAAAAATGAATGACTGAAAAGTTCTTCCTAGGATTATCTTTCTATTTGAACTTATCTGGTCTCCTTTCTTCTAAAAAGGATGTAGGAACCCTTTCTGCCATAATTTTTAAAAACTTGTACTATATTATCAATCATTGCAATTTTACCATATATTATCTTGCATTAGTTCACAACAATAAAGGCATTTATTTACATATGTATGAGCACATAATCTCCTCCAAGAATGTAATCTTCTTGAGGACAGACATTGCCATTTGGGAGAAGATTGAGGTAAATAAATGCAAGCTCCTAAGCCAATGATGCTAGCCAAACACACACACAATGCTAGCCAAACACACACATAATGCTAGCCAAACACACACACAATGGTAGTCAAACACACACACAAGCTAGCCAAACACACACACAATGCTAGCCAAACACACACATAGTGCTAGCCAAACACACACATGCTAGCCAATGCTAGCTAAACACACACACAATGCTAGCCAAACACACACATAATGCTAGCCAAACACACACACAATGGTAGCCAAACACACACATAATGCTAGCTAAACACACACACAATGCTAGCCAAACACACACATAATGCTAGCCAAATACACATACACTGTTAGCCAAAAGAGAAAAGCCACATGGCAAGACAGGAAATTTAACCACAGTATGTATTCTTTAGGACTCCAGGTACCAAGAGGGCAACTCAGTTTAAGGATACTTCCTTCCTATTTCATTACATTAGGGCACAGCAAACTTTCCCCAGTTGTTTCTTGCAATGTTTATAGCAATAGTTTTAAGCAAAACTGAGAACTGCAAGGGGGTGTCTTCATCTAGGTTGTCCCTCTCAGGCTAATTGTGTTGCCCACCCTTGCACTAATTGCTTTAATACTTGCACAACATGTAGTAAGTATTGAGGGGCAATTACTATGAAAATGCAAGCTGTCATGATTGGTAATAGCCATCATCATTTTATGCAGCTTGAGTGTGTTAAGTCTGGGAAATTGATATGCTTAACACTCAAGTTTTGTTTTTCTAAGCTAGTCTTTCTTTACTTCTCCAAATTCAAAGTGAGAAGCAGCCAGTTGACTTTGGTAGCCATGGATAATGCCTTGCACTGCATTTTACAAGATTATCAAAATAATATGTCTGTGGAATCAGTGGTCAAAATAGATATCAATTTAGATACACATAAGAAAGAAAAAGAAAAAAGATGGGCATTTATGTTTTAAGAAACTTTTATCTTTTATATATTCACATTTACACTTTGGCATTTTTCACTTAATATTCCTTACCTCAGAAAAAAATAATGTGATCTTTTATATATTTTCCCCAAAACATTATATCTGCTCAACATATTTGCCCTGATTTTGTTAATGCTTATCAACATAACACTCCCCTTCCTGGTTTTCATTATTTTTATATATTTTCCATTGCATTCACATACTAAGACAAAGAAACTCTAGGAACTATCTTTGGGACAGTAAGTTTGAATTCCTTCTCAAGCACAGATTTCTATATTTTAAAAAATTATCATTTTTTAGGATTGGCAAATAGACTCCAACTAAACATTTGCTCTTACAGATTCAAGTTTTCTTAGTGATTACCGTCCATGTTTTAGTCAGTGGATAATGATTTCCTTTGCCTAAGTGAACCTGGCATTTAGTTATTGGAAAAAAATAGATTTGGCTTTAACAATTAATGTTTGCAGTAAGAGTTACTTTGCTTTTGAATTCATTTACACTGCTACTTAGATTTGTAACGATGAATTTAGTGTAAACACACTCTCTAGCTGTTTTTTGGACATTCACTTGCTCTGTTATGAGGACACCAAGTAGTATTGTAACAAACGTATGATTAGATGTCTACAAGTCTACAATCCAAAGGCTTATCATCTATTGGTGTCTACCTGAATAAGCCTATCAAGCCATTTCTTAGATATGCAAATATAATTTATTTTTTTCTTCCTAATTTTGTTATATAATTATTGTAGGATGTTCCCTGATATAATTTACAAATTGAAGCAAACATAACTGGTTGATGGTAGAAAGAATCATTAATTCCCTTCATGCGAGTTTCCGTGATGGTGGACACGTAGGTGAGGTTGCCAGGAGCAGCCGGCCACTGCTGCTCACCTTCCCCCTCATTGTTCCCAAAATACCCCCTTGAATTGCAACAGAGGATTAAAAACTTGTTCTGGATTACTAAACAGGGATATCCATCTATCCATAAACTCCATTTTCTCCTCTAAAGTCTTTTTCTGGATGAAATCCAAATTGCCCCCTTGATTTTTAAAATTTCCCTGAAGCCAAAGTACATGTCAAGTTCACATCCCAGTCCTTTCCTGTACCTCTAGCCTGAACAACTGGTGATACTGACTCCATCGGCCGCCGGTATTTGAGCAGCAGCTGTGTCCGAACACAAGGCCTGTGTTGTGCCTTCTCTCCTGTGCTGGGCTTCCTCTGTCATGTTTTATGTGGTGTTATTCCCACTTAGCTTTTTCTAGTTCAGTTTTCCCCCTCTAAGTTCATAATACAATTCCTTCTTTTATCTGTGGTATCACCCTCCTTAAGTACTGATTTATTAGTTAGGTTCACTAGGGAATTAAAAAGTATAGCATTGACCATGTATGTTAAGGTAACCTCTGTAGGAATTCTTGGTTTCATTAAATAAAATACATAACCCATAACCTTAAACAAATAAAACTTCACTTTCCAACAAAAGCCACATTATCATATTCCAAAGAGCAATTCCTGCCACCTTGCTCCTCATCTTTATCCTTATTCCTTTCTAATTATATTTTGTAACACCAGCCAATCTAGGCCTGTTGCCCAGATTTTTCTTGAGTGTTGTTATAGCCCACTTTAAAGACACTTTCTATTAATATATCTATTATAGTCAATCAATGAAAACAGTCAGTTTGCAGTAAACAAAAGGTCTCAGAGATATCCAATGTTTTCGTAAATCACACAGTACATTTCCCTGCATGCTAATTTTAAATTTAAAACAGGTAAAGAAAATATCTTACCCCAAAAGTTTTCTGGCCACGGACTTCCTAAATTTGTTGTGTTATTAGCCATAGTATCCACCAGAAATAGAAGAGAGAGGAGAAAGAAGAGAAAGAAAGAAAAGCCAGCGTGGCCAAAAGAAGCACTTTGATTCTGTCTTTGTGGTTCCGCAAGAGAAAAATAATTTCCACACAACCCCTCATATACTTGTGCTTGCATAAAAGGAAACAAGTGTATCATGTTTCCTGCTTTTATACTCAAATTAGCAACTGTTTTTCTTATCTTGGAATTCCACATGGTTCCCGAGACACAAAACAATTTCCTTCTCGTCATTTCCTCAGCGAATGTACTGAATACCTCCTCTTGGCCACCTCCAAACTGCTTTTGGGATAAGAGACTTTTTTCCTGCTCCTTTCACAATCTCCTACTGACACACATAGGGAGATTCCAAACTCAGCTACAGCTCAGGGTGACATTCATACAGGAGAGAGAGAGAGAGAGAGACTGTTTTCCAACGGTTAAAAATTACCTTTACATAGTAAGTTATGGAGGGGAACAAATTCAGAAATCCATGTCCTGTTCAAGGACAATTAATTTTCTAATACCTCTTTTTTATATAAATCTGTTGCTTTTCAAAACTCTTAACATGGTTCATTCTATTTGGTTTGTTAATTTTGAAAATTTCTTTATTTCATAAATATTTATCTAATATGTAATTTAGATTTAATTACAATTAGTATTTAAATATGAAAAAAAAGTTTCTAGAGTGAAAGAACCTATTTTTTAAAAGATGATAAAGAAAATAAAAGAGATGCTTTTTTATTGGACAAAGAGCAATTTTTCAATTGTAAAAAAAATAAAAAAATAAGCCCAAACAGTGTGGCTCAGTGGTTGAGCATTGACCTATGAACCAGGAGATCACGGATCAATTCCTGGGCTTGACCCCTAGAGTGGAGCATGCAGGAGGCAGCCAATCAATGATTCTCTCTCATCATTCATGTTTCTATCTCTGTCTCCCCCTCTCTTCCTCTCTGAAATCAATAAAAAATATATTTTAAAAAAATAACTAGTAGGAGAAACATAAATACAAACATTTTATTACAACAGAATTTTAAATGCTACAGCAAGGAGTACGTGGAGCACAGTAATTTTTTCATGGGGAGGTGTGAGAGAAGGGATGACCCTGGTATTGTGTGTGAAGGTATGAAAATAATTTTACCCAGTAGTGAGTGGGTGCAAAGGTAGAAAAGGCAACATAAAAGGAGAGGATTGATTACAGTCCTCACTGGGGATGTTCTGGGGATGACAAGAGAGTATGCAAAGTGTGGCCATAGGAAAGGCTGACATGAGACTTTTTAGGAGATGTGGGTTAGTTAAAAATTCAAGTCTCTGTCTACAAGCTTTACTAGTTTAGGCTAGACCAGTGGTTCTCAACCTGTGGGTCGCGACCCCTTTGGCGGTCGAATGATCCTTTCACAGGGGTCGCCTAAGACCATCCTGCATATCAGATATTTACATTACGATTAATAACAGTAGCAACATTACAGTTATGAAGTAGTAACGAAAATAATTTTATGGTTGGGTCACAACATGAGGAACTGTATTTAAAGGGCCAGGAAGTTGAGAACCACTGGGCTAGACCCTCTGAGCACTGGGAAGTCATTGTAAGTAGGGGTCAGTGCTAAACCATACTTAGTAACTGCATGAAACTGCATTCAGCGAGCTAGTTTCCTTAATCTTTGCTTAATCTAGCACTAGCTCTTGCATAGCTTGCATTCACCTAACTGCCATTAGATAGGATTGTGTGAAGCAGCAATCATTTTTGCGAAGTAAGATACTCCTGAATATCTGAAACAAAAAACATGAAGCTTATCCCATATTAATTTTTGTACTCCTAATTCTCTAAAAACTAGGTTGTTTCTGCTCATTTAAAAATTTTTTCAGACTTACATTAACTGTAAATGTACTGGATATTAATATATAGGCCACCGAAAGGAGAATAATAGAGTGTTATAAAAATTCAGAGACATCATTGGGAAAATATGAAGACTCATCTCTATGATATTCTTGCTGAGGTTTATTTCCGTATAATCAACTAAATAAAATATCCATACTGTTGCTTAAGGAAAGCAAATGTGGGGTCTCATTTTAATAGTTATTTCTCCTTCTCAATATTTTGTCCAGTCAAAATTTATAAAAATAGAAAAGTAAAAGACCATTTTATTTCTAAAAATATATATTATGTGGATAGAACGATATTGAAATACTTCTAAATTATTCCAGAAACAGTAGGATTCTTCAATTACTGTATTCATTTTAAAACCCGCATTTGGTTGTATTATAGACAAACAATTCAATACATAATAATTGCAAAAATGGATGCATTTTGATTCGGAATTATACCAACTGTATTTACTCTGAAACAAGAAACCCAGTGGGTGGGTAGAAAGGATGAGCCTGGCTTGGTCAAAACTGCCTTCTGGGCAGAAACAGAGTTCGCTCTACCTCAGGCCTGGGATACAGGCTGACTTCCTCTTATTGTCTCATATCTGAGCATCTAAATTTTCTCCCATAAGTTTCCACTTTTGCAGATGGTCAGAGCCATCAAAATTCTGAAGGAAACTTGTTTTCTATCAATATTTATAGCCTAGGAATACTTGTCTGTTAACAGCTCGTTGATAGCATTCGTTCTTATCTGTGCACGTAATTTGCTGGGTAAGGATTCGTACTGTGTTTTGGCAGAGATCCGTGTAAATGGGTGTTTATATCTATGCGATTTTCGAGTCCCATGACTTGTAATGCCAAAACAGGAAGTCAGTTTTTATCTTTCCAAAACTGTGAGGTCTGCTTTTCTACTCTTCATTATTGCACAAGGTGATCTGGATTCTCCTCTAGTCCTAAAACTCATTGGGAGGCTTGTTCCTCTCCCATAGTCACAGGGCCTCCTCCCTCCCTTCATTTAGGTCTCTTAATAGTCTCCTGGTCTGAAGTGTCCCGCTAACCACGCCCTCTCCTCTGACCCCGCGTTACCATTTTCTTCAGAGCATTTATCAGGCCCTGACTTTGTGCTATATGTGTTTTTGCTTATTCTTTGTCTCTTATGCTCTTCCACGAGAGTTAAGCTCCATGAGGACAGAAATTTTATTGATCTTGCTCATATCTGTATCTACATGGCTAATATAGTTCTCTTAATAACATGTTATTAATCAATAACAAAGCAGGCTCTTATTAAATATTTAGTCAATAATAAAATAACTCCAAGGGATCTGAAGATGAAATTGTTTTAGCCATTCCATGTCAGGTTAATAAAAAATGCCATTTACCACTTAAAAACAAAAGTTGAAGATCTCTATTTATAGGCATTCGATAATTTAAAAGTGTGAGTTAGTACTTGATATAGAGTCAAACAATACAAAAGAACATTGTCAGACAAACTCAGACTTATGATAAACATTTGACTTTAAACTTTCTTTTGTAGCTTTACTTTTTTTTTTTAACTATCATGGATTTGTCTTCCTCATAATAAATTGATCCAAGCAATTTAGTATTTTAGAAAAAAATCCAGATAAAACCAAGACCTATATTACAGTTTATAAGTAAAAAGTACAAAATGAATTGATTCAAGTGCCTTAATTGTTCAGAAAAGAGATATTGATATATACACTGAGAAAAGAATGAAACTTCCTTAACCTGAAAAATAGTGTGAGTTAAAAACAAATTCAAATATCATAATTATTGAAGAAATATTAAAGCATTCCCTTCAACAGAACATTTGACCACTGTCATGATTTCTATTCAAAATCAGACAGCATGACCTTGCTGGGACCATGAGAAAGATAAATAAATATACTATGTAAAGGATTGCAAAGATAAAAATGAAAGCATAATTTGTTGTAGGTTGTAAAATTGTCTACATTGTCACAAACAATGTAAGATGTACAAAGGAAAGAAGTCATTACTAGGAAAAAATTACAGTAAATAAAAAATATAACAAAAATATACAAGATTTATGTGGAAAATGATTTTATTGAAGGATAAAAGAAAATGTGCTGGTATAATAAATAATATGTTCGCAAATGGGAACATTCAGTACAAAAAGATGTCAATTTTCTTCAACACAGATAATTTTTAATTCATAAAAATATTCTAATATCACTCTTTAAGAAATTTGGCAAGCTGATTCTAAAATACATAGGGAAGGTCAAAGGGCCAAAATTTAAAAAAAAAATTTTTTTTTAAAAAGGCCAAAAATTGCTAAGACACTTAAGAAGAAAAAGGACCTTAGAGGACCTGTAGGTACTGTGACTTTTTAGAACGCTGTAGTATTTAGTACAGTGTATTTTTTTTCTGTTTTAGTAAATTTTGGGGGGTGGCACTGGTTAACAAAATTATATAGGTTTCAGGTACACAATTCTACAACACATCACCTGTACACGGCACTGTCTATTCGCCACCCCAAGTCAAGTCTATGTGCCCATCACCATTTATCCCCCACACTCTCCTCCATCCTCCCTCCTTCCCCTCCTTCCAGCGTTCACCACACTGGTGTCCGTGACCATGACTTCTTTCTCCTTTTTTTTTCTATGTTGCTCAAACCCTTCCCACCTTCCCACCTTCCCACCTTCCCACCTTCCCGACAGTACAGTACAGAACAGTACAGTATATTGTTGACTCAGGGGGAGATGAGCAGACTAATGATGCAAAATAGGAAATCCAGAAATGGATCTGGGACAAATGGAACCTTGACATATGATAGGTAACAATTGCCAATCTATATTGAAAGATGGTCTGTTCAGAAAACCATGCTGTTGTTCAACTGAATATCCACATGGGAAAAAAATGAATTCCTCATTTGCACCTTACAAAAATAAGAGGCCCAGATAGGTAACTTTTAGAAGGTAATGTAGAGAAAGACCTGTTAAAAAATATACACCAAAAACACAAACCTAAAACAAAGATTGATTAAGCTGAATATATTAGAACAAATGACTCATGTCCATCAAAAAACTTCAGAAAGAAAATAAAAATACAACTCACAAACTGGCATAGAAATTTAATTGACTTAGTATATTGATTTTATATCCAGTAAATGTTTGTAAGGCTCTTATCATTTCTAAGGCTTTGTCAACAGAGTCTTCTGAATGTTGCATGTAGACAATCACTCCATCTGCAAATAGTTACAATTTTATTTTTATACTTCCAAAGACATTGTAGTATAT